TGTTCTTATCGAGATTCGATGTGTGAACCTTTGAACAGGTGACAAAATCTTAACAGTGACTTGAATGTTCCTCATGATTGGAATTGAATCTCTCATTATTTAAAAAGGAAAAATCCATCCACAAAAGACTATTCGACACTCAAGTTAGTAATAATGTTTTGGATCTTTATGAATAAAAGAGAGAGTATGAGAAAATTGTGTGTGTATTTCCTAGTGAAATACCATGTGTATTTATAGGATTTCTGGGTCCCATAATGCTTGTTGATAATATTAACAGATATAATAACTTACTATATATATGATAATTAGCGGAATAATAACAATAATGTGATATCTTACCTGATATTCCAAATATTATATAAATATATGATATTAAGAAGGGTTAAATATGTTTTCAGTCCCTAAACTATTGGTCGTTTCTGGTTTTAGTTCCTCTTTCAAAATAAGGTACAATTTGGTCCTCATTCTTTTCGAAACTTTGGTTTTAGTCCTCTAAAACTAACACCGTTAAAATTTAGCTGACGTGGCTAACGGTAGACTGAGATACTATTTTTTTTTTAGTGTTTCTCACCACTTCTTCCTCTCTCTCTTCCTTCCATCTTCCACCCAACTTCATCTTTCACAGCATCTTCGATCACAAAGGTGGCAACTTCTCAACCAAAGCTGGCAGCCCATCTTTTGCATCTGGAAGGAAAAAGTACATGGTGAATTGGCGTTTATCTTCGCCTTGCTTGTAGGGAAGACCAAGGACTTTAAAACCCTCAAAAGGCCTTATGAATTACTTCTTCTTGCTAGTCATAAAGGGAACCTTGACTGATTTGCCATAAAAAAGGTGAAAATCATGGTCTTTTGTAATTGAAGCATCAAACTTCTCATTCCACGCTCCTTTGAAGTACAGTGCATTTGCAAAGATGAGTCTGGTTGTACTGTCAACAGATCCAGCAGGAAGAAGTTCTTTTACAAGGCCATTTGTCTCCTTTTCGGCCCAAGAATTAACTTCATTGGCCACTTCAACAGCCTTAGAAATTTAAAATTATTATCAAATTTAAAATCAATTGTATAAATGGACAACAATGAGGAGAGCTACAAAAACAGACCATCAAGTCGATAAGGGAACAATTCCAAGGGAAGTTGACAGTCGTGGTGCTCTACAATCAACTTGACGATGGATCGAGAGATTTGTGTTCTATCTAGTACTACATTACGGGAGCAAAAGACCAGAGGTTCGTTAAGTTATTGCAGCACTGGTTGGCACATGGTCACAAACTCGAAAAGACTAGCAAGTCCAGTGATTAAATGAAGATGCTTGGATCAATTTTAAATTGGTAATGACTACAAAGACATCAATTGGATGTTTTCCATATTTTATGGGCAGTGGCAAGGTTGTATCAACAGAATAAGAAGCATTTCATACTTATAAATAGCTAAAGCTTTCAAAAGGATGAAAAAGCATCCACACTGTCACACACAATGCTATTGAAATTTGTACTAAATATTTTGGTTTGAAGGTGGCATTGATCATAGTCTAATGTCAATGTTTAGATGAAGACTTGTTTAAGAGGAAAATAAGAAAACAAATAAATAAAATAAGTTTCTCTACCAACATAAAATTAGGTATATGCATAAACTAATTTCTGCTTTTGGAGTAATTAAATCATTTATCTTATCCAGATATCGAAGCTAATTTTAGCTTGCGCTTATTTCTCTTTCCTTGTTTTCTTCATATAAAAGTGTTTTGGCTAGTTTTTGGAGAACCTAATATGGGAAAACTTCTGCAAATTATCTTTTATGCATAAGATCTTAGAGGAACTTCTTCCTTTTTCTTCTCATTTCTTCTTCATTTTTAAAATCAATTGTATAAATGGACAGGTGCCCCTTTTATCTCATGCATTTCAATAAAAGTGTTTAAGTTTTTGAAAAAAAAAATTCCCACATAAATACGACTGTAACAGACAGCAATGAGGAGAACTACAAAAACAGACCATCAAGTCGATAAGGGAACAATTCCAAGGAGAGCTACACCATGTACTTTTTCCTTCCAGATGCAAAAGATGGGCTACCAGCTTTGGTTGAGAAGTTGCCAGCTTTGTGATCGGAGATGCTGTGAAAGATGAAGTTGGGTGGAAGATGGAAGGAAGAGAGAGAGGGAGAAATGGTGAGAAACACTTGAAAAAAAAAATAGTGTGTCAGTCTACCGTTAGCCACATCAACTAAATTTTAACGGTGTTAGTTTTAGAGGACTAAAACCAAAGTTTCGAAAAAAATGAGGACCAAATTGTACCTTATTTTGAAAGAGGGATTAAAACCAGAAATGACCAATAGTTTAGGGACTAAAAACATATTTAACCCTATTAAGAAATATCATGACATAATCAAAATATTGAGATTTTATTACATATATTTGAATATTTATACCAACAAATATATCTTAAAATATCTTTCAAAATATATACATAATCTCTTTAATTTTAACACGTGACATATTTTAAATAAAAAATACTCAATGACATATAACATACTAAAAAAAATGGTCATATTGAGTTTTATTTATAAAGATATAGACTTAATCAAATAAAAATTATAAAAATTAAAACAAATTAAAAACATAAATAAGAAAACTAAAATATTAATTAAACCTAAAATATTATAAACATAATTTTGTGCCGTCCACTTGTAAGAATTGAAGCATGCTTCTTATAAACTTTGAACTCAGAAGTGCAAAAACCAAAACAGGTTCCTTTTGGAGGATTTCTTTTGCACACCAATATTTTTTCTTTTCATCACCTCCGTAAATATGAAATTTCATACTTAATATTAAAAAATAATTTTTGAACTATGTAATTCAGAAATTGCTTTAAATCCTAGATTATACAATTTAAAGACTTTTAGACTTTTAAATTATATAATCCATTTTTTCTATTCTAAAAATTATTTTAACATTAAGTTTTTCAATTTTATAATCTGAAAATTATTTTTAACTTTCAAACTATATAACCCTAAAAATCTGCATGAAATCCAAAAATTACTTTTTTTTAAAGAATGTTAGATTAAATAATCCAAAGTATGAAATTTTAGATTATGCAATTTAAAAGATTTTTGAACTTTTAAATTATATAATCCGATTTTCCTTTTATTTCCAATTTGTATCTAAAAGTGATTTTTTTACTTTTACATTATACCAGTTAAAAGTTATTTTTACATAAAAAAAACAAACTTTTTGAAAATTATTTTTAACTTTCAAATTATATGATTTTTTTTTATTTTTAAATTGTGTAATTAAAAAGTAAAATTTTATATTAAAGAACATTAGTATAAACCTAATTCAAAATTTAGTTTTTGTTTGCATGTTTGCGATTCTTGTGCGAATTGGGTTAATGATGGAAGAGATCGCGATGAAGGTTTGGATGCTTTTAGTTTTTTGATTTGGGTATCTATGGTGGTGGAAGAAGATGAACTGATACATAATTTGGAGAGATTTTTGGACACTGGAGATGGAGGTTTTACGGTGTCCATGGAGGTGAGTGTGGTGGAGGGTGGTTGCGCATGAGAGTTTCGCGGTTGATGGTGGTGTCGGAGGTGTTGGAGGTGGCGTCGGAGGTGATTGTGGTAGAATCGGAGAGAGAGAGGAAGGGAGAGGAACTGAGAAAGATTAACTGGTGTCAGAAAAAAAAAATAACGTGACACACTATCGTTAGTCACATCAGTCGGTTTTTAACGATGTTAGTTTTAAAGGACAAAAAATTAAGTTTTTCTCAAAAAAAAGATTAAAATGTACCTTACTTTAAAAAAGGGATTAAAAATAAATTCGTTTCATAATTTAGAGACTAAAAACATATTTAATTTTATATAATTTAAAAGTATTTTTACTTCCAAAATTTATTTTATCGTATAAAAATATCTCCTAAAATATAGAATTCAGAACACAAATTCACGAGTGATTCAACACAGACCCACATGGAAATTATGGGTGCATAAAAATGTCCTTTGGATAACTTAAAACACAAGGATCACTAAAATGAGGTTTTGTCTTTTTCCCATTATCTGTATTCCAAAAGAACATATGTCACCCACTGTACCAACCATCGTACCCATTGCAAGTGCAGATTCTTCCGCAACACTGTCTCAATACAGAGTATATACTACAACATTCATTTTAATTTAAATTCATATACGTTGGTCACATCAACTTTTAATTAATTTTCAAGATTTTTATTTTTTTAAAAGATAAAATTTGCTCTAATCAAATTATATTTTAACATAATTTACATTATATTAAATGTCAAGCGTATTTCTTTAACAGTAACATCTTAAAATTGTACGAAAGTCAAGAGAGTCAATAAATATTTTAGAAGAAATTAGAACTATTTATTTTTAAAACACGTCTTAAAAAATAGAAAAAAATATATGATTTCATTTTTACTTTTAAACCATTTAAAAGTATTAAACATGGTAGGAAGAACATTTAAACCTTCCTTTAAAGTTTCAAGTTAATTTTTATTTCAGGTGGTTCGAACAATTCTATGAAACACATTTATATTTTTACTCTTTAACCATTAGAGTAGTAAAATTTATTTATAATCCAAATTCGTTTTTTTTTTGTTCCAAATCAAAAGTACGTACAAAAGTAATTCGATACTCAAATCAATAAATGAATAAATTATCTAAATAAAATCAGAACAAAGTTTTAAATTTATAATAAATATAATTATATATTCTTTATTCTTACTTTTTAACTTTTATTTATAACTTTTGAGATAAATATAAAATTAGTAAGGTGTTAATCACGATTCAATCTCAATCTATTATATTAATTGGTATTTACTTCTAAAATTGATTCTTAATATTTCTTAAGAAATGTTTTGATCAGAAATGTTTTGATCATCAATCTAGACTAGAGTAGACTGATGATCCTTGTATTAACTTTCCTTAAATTAGGTATTTAATATGAATCTTTACAGTCGGATCCGTCCGGTGATACAGTATATAGTTTTATTAATAACTAAACAAAAAAGCTAGTGAGAGACCTTAATTATTGAACAATGATTTTTCTTTTTTTGCTTAATGCAGGTTTGAGAATGAAGCTTCCACCACCGCCTTGTATGTGAAAGACAACTCATTGTTCCCCTTTTTGTTTATTTGATGTCTATGACCGCCTTCTATTTTCTATAAATAAAGGAACTGTCTTCTGCAATAGTCACTGTCTGCACACTCTATAGAAACTTGAACACACACAAAATTAGTACTGTCTTCTTCAACACTCTTCTTCCTTATCTTTCACACTACTTTTTTCTTTCCCTTTTGCTCTCTCTTCTCTCACTTCTGTTAAGAATGAGTAAACAGGACTTGCTGAAAATTCAGGTACACTACACACTTCATTCTCTAGTACTGTTTTTGTTACAGTTATGTTTGTGTCTGGTTTTTGGGCCCATGGAATGTTAATTCTGATCCGTTTTTGCTGTTTTTGGTCTCCTTTTAGACCTGTGTTCTCAAGGTTAATATCGACTGTGATGGCTGTGCACAGAAAGTTAAGAAAATCCTGCAGAAAATCGATGGTACATTAATCTTAGCACACTTCTTTTTTTGTTTCTTATTTCAAAATTTCTTTCCATGTTAACATGTTTCGTTCTCAACTTTATTACCATGTCAGTTAATCAACATGTCCTGCTTTTTGTGGTTTGCAACTTCCCTTATACAGATTATATTATCTGGGTTCTTCAAGTTTACTTGGTCTAATCTTCATTAGATTAGATTCATTTGCCTGTAAAAGAAATTGTTATTGTTGTTGTGCAGGTGTGTATTCCGTGAAAATAGATGCAGGTGGAGGGAAAGTGGTAGTGGCAGGGGATGTGGATCCAGAGAAACTGGTGAAAAAGATAAAGGTGGGAGGGAAACATGCTGAGATATGGGGTGGTTAGAATAGGAACCATCACATCAACCCTAAATTCCAGACCTTGCAAGTTGATAACAACAAAGTGGGAAGGGACATTAAGTCCCAAAACCAGAAGGGTCAGAAAGGTGGTGATGGTGGTGGAGGAGGTAAAGGTCAAGGTCAAGTTGGTCAAATGGCACACTTCACAAACATGAAAGGGATTCAAGATCTCAAGGAACCTGTCAAGGAACAAAAATCTGTTAGGTTCAACTTACCAGAGAAGGAGTTTGAAGCTAGTGATGATGGTTTTGATGAATATGAGGACAGTTTAGATGACTATGATGATGAAGAGGAAGATGAAGATGAAGTAATAGGCCATGGGCATGGGTATGGGCATGGCAATCCAATGCATCATAAGATGATGCCAAAGATGGGAGATGGAGGTGGGCCTCATGGGCCTGCTGGTGTAATGAATGGGCCTGCCATTAATAATGGCCATAAAGACAATGCTGGTGGGAGTAGGAACAATAATGGAAGTGATAAGAAAGGTGGTGACATTGATCAAGCAATGCTAATCAAGGTCAAAGGTGGGAATTACAATGAAGCCAAAGTTGATGATAATGAAGGGAAGAAAAGTAGCCAAAAAGGTAAAAAGAAGAAGAAAGATGAGATTAAAAAAAAGGATGGTGGATTGCTAGGTAGGTTTCTAAGCTTTGGGGGAAAGAGCAAAAAGGTTGGATTAGAAGAAGTAACTTATACCAGTAGCAAGAACCAAAGCAATGAAAGTGGAAATAAGAAAAACAAGGAAGGAAAAATGAAGGACCATAGCAATGGTAAAAATGATTTTGATTTTCTTGATTATGACAAGACTCCTCTTCTTCATAAAAATGGCAAAGTAGGTCAGATGGATCCAAGCCAAAAAGGGTATCAGGCATTGCAGGGTGATGCAATGGGACATCAAGGAATGCAGATGCAGCATGTTCCATATAATAACCTTCTGCAGCAGCAATACATGGCTATGATGATGAACCAACCACAACATCAGCATCAACATCATTATCAACATGAAACAAATATGAACAACATGTATCCAACAAACATGATGTATGGTAGGCCACATCCGTCTATGAACTACATGGCACCACCTCCTATGCCATCTCACCCAATGGCTGATCCTATTACTCATACTTTCAGTGATGAGAATGTTGAGAGCTGCAGAATCATGTAGTAATTAGTAGTTACAAACTATTACATTCTGTGTTTTGGTATTTTGGGAGTTCATAGAACTGGTAAATGTGTAATCTTTAGATTAGATTATATTATACTTTACATTATAAATCATAGTATAATTTCTTCTTTTTTTTCATTTATGGAGCAGTTTTTACATTATTAAGACAATTATTTATAAGACAAAGTTAGACAGTTGTCATATTTTGGAACACTGTTAATGGGAGATAGAGTGAGAGTCGGACAAAGCCGAAGCAATTATTTTCACTCTTCATTGTTTTTTTCAGAAGAAATTTAAGAAAGTCAAAAGTTCACAAGTGAAAGAGCGTGAAGGTGTCCGCAAAATCTAAATAATTTCCATTATCATGTTTGTAAAAAAAATGTTATCACTAAGTTTATGTCTGCATTGAAATTGTCATAATTTAAGAACTTGCAACTACACACATGCATTGTTCTCTTTTATTTTAATTGCAGAGGTTTACCATTGGATATATTAGCCTTTTAAGGTATAGTAAACCAACAAAAAAAATTGAAATCACGAAGGTCTCTCTTTATGATGCATTTTTTAATGGCAAGATATACCAGAACAACAATCCCTGATAATTTCAGGGGGTTTTATACAACTTCATAAATGAGTTCACCTCCATTGTAATTCCAGCCATGAAGAAGTACTTGAGGAGTGACACCCTGAGGAGCCTCAAAGGATATATTTATAGGCATGGTCTCTCCAGGGACCAGTGAAAAGTAGTTATCAGAGTAATGAACAGGAAGAATTCTTGTGTCTTCTTCCCCTTCCTTGCTGTTCTTCTTTGAAGTATGAACAGAAATTTGAAGAAAGAAAGCAACGCCTACATCAGATCCCTTTATCTCTGTAACTTTCAGACCGTCACTTTTCCCAGAAAAACATCCGTGTATCCCCTTCAACAAAACAGTTTCATGTTCTCTTCCAACACTAAAATGTGGAGTTTCCAGTGATTGTGTGCCACAAAAACCATCACTTGGCCTAACTGTTGAGCTTCTTGACTCTGGTCTTTCAGATGAATTTGTCACATGCATTTGGATATTATAAACGGATTCTTCAATTGAAACCTTCGATGTTATGTTGAGAGGTATTTTCTTCTCCCTATATGGCTCCAATAACTTGTAATCTCCACCAGAAAGATGCAACCAGTAAAAGTTTCTGGATATAACACTTTTATCTGACATGTTATAGAGTTTGAGAAGAAGAAAGTAGACAGGCTTTGGATCTTTTGACTTTGGATACTCCATCTCAATAATAGGTGCTACTTTTTTTGGCAGAAAAGAGAGATTTTCATTAAGACTGTAGTACGGGCGTGTTCCTTCAAGATCCCACACGGAAGTTTCAATGGCAACATTAGACAACTCTTTTTATGTAGTATTAACAACCTGTTTTGGGGAGGAAGATAAAGAAATACACAGCCTTTAAAGATTTACTCTTTTATTAGAAAATCATGCATAAATTGAAAAGAAAATTATAATCAAACAATTTTCCACAATTTCATTATCCTTCAAATCTTTTTAACTGGCCACTTTTGACTTCCAATCTCAATTTTAAATTTTAAATTTTAAAAATATATTATCAAATCGGTAAAATAACATGTCTACTTATATGACCTACTCATAGAACTAGAACTTCATTTCGATACTTACCTCTATCAAATATGTAGCAAGATTAAGCTGTACATGAATTGGTTCTGCGGCACACCGACAGCCATAGAAACCTGCTGTTTGATCAAGTAGATGGTCGTAAAATTGACCTCTCAGACCAGTCCAAGGATTTTGTGTCTTCCATATCAATACACCTGTATATTTGCTCCACATGTGAGAAGTCCATCCCTCAAGAAGAGCTCTGTATTGAATGTAGTTAACAAGTTGAGCCTGAGGAGATTATAGCATCTAAATTAAACATCAATTCAGCAAAAAAGAAAAAGATCAAGAGAAATAGGATGATGAAATATTCATCACTAGTGGCCAACAGGATAAGGTTTCTACTCTCTTCTTACCTTCAAACAAAAATCATCAAGATCTTTTGCATCACCATAAAGTTGAATCTGATCATGAACCTTGTTTGGTTTTGAATAAGGAATATATTTATGGTATTCCCATATGGCATTTGGAACTTCTTCAACATAACCATTGGGAAGTTTCTTAAACAATGGTATCTTCCAACCTTCTGGAGGCATTGTTGCTCGTATGGTAGCTGCAACTGGCATTCCCACAGAACCAACCTCTGGATTGAACCCATACTTATAGTAATCGTCCTTGAAGAAATCTTCAGGATTTTGAATTTCATAAGGTCCATCAGTGAAGTCCCCTTTCCCATCTGCAAACCCATCCCATAACGATCCTTGTATGTAAATCCGTGTGCCGTCAAGGTACTGACTAGGATCTGACGGTGTTGGGGACAAATCTCCTACGGGTTTGCTGCTTTCATCCTTACTTTCAAAATAAGGATGAAGCCTTAGATCATATTTTAGAGCAGCGTTTATATCAGCTGGTGGAATTTGCTCATTTCCCCCCACCCATAGGGCAAGACTAGGATGATTTCTTAGAAGCTTAACTGTGTCTCGTGCACAAAACAAGAAAAGATCATGGTCCAGAGGACCATCTGGATTAGATACTGGGTCACCACGTCCATCAACATCCCCAGTAATCCAAAACTCTTGCCACACCTACAAAACTCAGCCAGCAACTAGATAAATTTTCTAAACCAACACTGCTACTAATGTAGTATAAACATGAACACAAGATATTGGACAGGACCAAGGATTATATGGTAAAACTTTGTCTAAGCTTCAAACCAGATAAATCATCAGTGACCACCTGGTCTAGCTGTAGCAGGAGTAGCGTCACTTTTCAGAAACACAATCTGGGTATCCCCAACATCATAATCACCACATAACAACCATTCACTTAAAATCACTATCAAGAAACCCAGACAAAATAATGGGTTTTAGAAAAAGAAGATTAGAATCAAATCTCCACTTAAACAACATAAGACTAAAACATTAGAGGAATTATAAAATGTATTAAATAACCAGGTGAACTATAAAAACCTGCCCTTAGCAGGGTGTTTGAGTCATTCAAGTCACTGCTATATCCACACTAAAGTACCCATAAATGAGAGAACGTGACAAACCATACATGCATATATGTTACTCAGCTGTGCATAGACACATTGAGGGGATTCTATCACATTAATGTAAACCATTTCTTTCTACCCTTCTAAAGTGGCCTTGAAATTTGGATGTTAACTTGATGGCATGCATATATAAGCAAAAATTGAAATTTGGATGTTAACTTGATGGCATGCATATATAAGCAAAAATAAGGATCTGGTAGCAGTTTTAACTTACCAGAAGGCCATAATAATCACAGTAATAATAAAACTCGGGTCTTTCAGCCAGCCCACCTCCCCAGCTCCGAATCATGTTAAAATTCATATCTGCATGAAATTTAATATCTGAACTATACCGCTTCTTTGATAACCGCAGAAGTCCATCAGACAATATCCAGTTACCCCCTCGAATAAAAATTGGTTCTCCATTAACTTTGAATAATCTATGATATTCAATGCACACAACAAAACATATACAGAAACAATTTAAAAATTGAATCAATTCTACCAAGTAAAAGGTAGATAAATACAACATTGATTAAATTTGAGAAATCACCTTACCTTCCACCAGTAGCATCATCGATATGGCTCTCAATTTTGCGGAATCCAAAGTGATGGCTCCATGAATCAGATTCACCAAATCCTTTAACATCAATGTTAATAACAACATCATACAAAGATTGCTTTCCCATTCCATTCGGCCACCATAAATACGGATTGGAGAAGATAAGCTGTTAATTTGCATCATTAGAACTTGAAAAGAAACGTTAAAACTAAAGCCCCAACATGTGCAAAATAACAGGCTTGCATGTGTGCAATGCCAAATAAAGAAATAGCGTTGTCCCTATGATCACTTGGGTTGGTTTAAATGTTTCTACATGCTTTATTGTTATATCTATCCAGGATTGCATACACTCAATGTAAAAAAGGGGGCAGGGGTTTCCCTATGATAACTTGGCTACTTTTGATCAGTTGGCTTATCTAAGTATTTGGCCATCAGCTTTGTTACTCCAGATCATACACATCAAGCATAACCGGTAAAGAAAGACATCAAGTAATAACTTACAAATTATGGAATCCAATGTCTTGACAATTCCTAATGTATATTTATCAAATTTATCCAATCATATCTGAACCTTTGTTCCTATGATAGGTAAGGAAATATAAGATCCATTTAACCTAAACACAATTAGCAGTGTAGTAAAGATTGTCTGGTTACATTACAAGCTCAAGAAATGATAGTACATTTCAATTATAATTACAGTAAATTAGAGTTATCTAAAAGTTAGACAAACTTATATACCACAGACACATGATGTAAGCCATATACATAAACATATACCAATGATGTCTAAGAACCAAGAGAATAGGGTCTGAAATTGAACAAATTTACTAAAATAACCAAATTCATTGATAAAGTTGTTCTTCAAATGTAATAAAGGTGTACGCGCAATGAAACAAAATTTGTCACAAGCATAATGAATACAATCACTAACCTCAGGAAATGTATATTGCACCCGTGAGTTTGCGGGTATAGAAAGATTTTGAGATTGAAGATGCTCTACCAAGATAATGCTATCCTCGGGTTCTATTGTCACTTGGACACTCAGAGAACACTGAGCAGTCCAGGAGCTTCTGTTTTGCAATTCAATCGTTGTATGTAGATACGCCTTCTTGTAGTCATCAGAAAATGTTGAAACCAAGTGCGGATCAATTATTTTTACGGGCTGCACCAAACACAGACTATGAAATTATTCAACCAAGGAACAACTACAAGCACCATTGTCTATAAAAGAAAGACAATCAAAACTCTAGAATATTTAATCGGGTTTGTTGATTTATGGACTGCACTAAAAGCTAAAAAGAGCATAGCAATTCTATGCCTCCGCAATTTCCTGGTTTAGTTTTCCAAACATATCGAGGACTCCCCAGACAATATTTCATGAAGCCAGCCTATGATTGGACTTGAAGTTCATCAATATTTGCTATGAACTACAAAAAAAAACTAGTTATAGCAAAAATGTAATAAACACAGAAGAGTCGGGAAGGAAAATGAAAGGCCTCCGAAATTGGTCTCAGTGGGAAATCTTAAATTGATTAAAAGACCAATGGTGAAGACTTCGGGATGTAATTAAATAATTAATGCTACTCACCCCAGTAACAGAAATAGAAACTTCATCCCATATTCCAGTATTCCTATCTCTGCAATCATATTAAAAACTCGCATTAGTCATAGATGTACTTACTTCCAACTCTCCAAATTTTGAACTCAATATCTAATGCTAAAATTGCTGTAGAAAAAGAATTACATGTTTTAGTTCAGAAAACAAAGAAAAAGTCAATATTTATTTTTGGATCAAAAAGCCAATGATCACACATCAATACATCTATACAAGTATTAGCAATGTCACCTTATAGGAGCCATCCAATCCCAACCTTCAACATATTGTGTGGCCACATCTTTTCCTATCTACAAAATAACCCCGAACAAAATGAATTAGATATCCAGTACGCAACAACAAAGCATTGTTCCTCTTCCTCTTTCACTGTAGTCCTAATTGATTCCAGAAATTAGGAAACACTTGAAATTGAAATCTAAAGGTTACATGTAACAGAAAGGTTAAGTAGTTAAAAGAATAAAATTAATTGATTAGAAGTATGAATTTAATTTCCAACCTCGTGATCACCACCTTGTCCCCCCTTGGGAGGAATTCTCCCAGGATGATCTGGAGGATGAACAAGAACAGCAAGCAGGTTTGTGCCATCAGCATGAACAAAATCGGTGACATGAATGGAATGCCTCCGAAACATCCCTTTTGGTAGGACGATTTGGTGGCCATTCAAATACACATCAGCAGAGTAATTGATTCCACGGAAGTTCAGATCACAGTGTTCATTGTTTGACTGCAAATGAAAAGGAGTCAAGTAATTAGTGATGCCCCCTTCCATCAAAATAAGAAACCGCCATCGTATATTCAAAAGAAGATTATTGTTGAGATACTAGAAAGGTTTTAAAAATGGACTCTCCACAACTGCAAATTCAAGCTACATCAGCCACATCTGTCAACAAACTTTTGAAATATCCCAGATCATAACTAAACCACAACTGTAAGTCTGTGACTAACCACACTTTAAAACCTTACTCACTGTATACTATACTGGCCTACTATTGGAAAACTAATCTCACAAACTTGAAAAAACAAAAATATCAGCATAAGCCAAAAAAAGGAGTATGAAATTAAAGTCAAAGGGTACCACTTAAAAATCCAAATCTGTAAAATGTACAAGAGAACAATCACAACACGTACAAGTTTGCAGTTAAAGGTTGTAAAGAACCAGAAGGTGTAATAGTCTCTTCCAGAATCAGCAATGTCAATGATATGTTCATTTTGCAGTCCATAAAAAGGATCGGGCACAACTTTGTTCTTCACCAAGGTCGCCAGAACACTGTTATGATGTTATGTCACATTGTGTGGAATCAAGTCAACATTGTATGAAAGTAAAATAACAGAAATGGAGATAAAAAAAATTGTGATTACGTTGCTGGAACGAGAGCTTCCATCCATGGTGAGGTGGGGCCAGTTGGAGGGTGCGTAGTGGTGAGCTGGGTTCCGGTGAATTGCACCTCAGTGGACCTTGCTGCGAGCCAACCTGAATCCAGCGTTCTCTTACGGTGCTGCTCCGCCATCACCGAAACCTTAGATCGCCGGAGAGGCTTCTTCTTCACTGCTCTTGTTCAAGCGTACGCAAACAAGAAAGGAAAAGAAAAACACTCGTTTTTATCTTTGCGTTAGACACGTGGATTTTGCTCCTTCCAGGTGATGATTTACGTTAAATTGTTTTTTTCCGAAATTTGGGTTGAAAAGAGAAAAGGATATACTTTGAATTAAAGGGACCGGATAAAGTACCCCAATATTAGGTTACTCAGGATCGTCGCGACTATTACTAAATTCTTTTTTTACCATGTTTAATTTCATCATGTTGTGCTATGTTCAAACGATTTTGTTTTAATTGAAATAAAATCATGTTAAGTGAAGACAACTAAAAATAAAAGTATTTATAATTTGAGACATAATTTCATATTCTTTTATGAAATATATTGAAATCGACTTTCGTTTTTATAAAATGTACTGCAGTCGTTTAAATTGTGACAACTTTATTTTTTTAAGTCATATTGATTTAATAAAATCACAGTTAAAATAAAATCGTTTTAATTCATTTTTATGAAATCGTAAAATTGACACGACTAACTCAAATTCAAAATTCTTTTAAATGTTACCTCAATTTAGTAAAATTTACTAATGATAATAAAAAACCACTGAACTTTCTAATAACATTACAGCCTCATTCTAACTGTATAAAAATATTTTTGTAATATATTTTGAAGTAATTTATTTAAAAATTCAATTTATGAATTATAAACAACGTTATTTAAAATAGTTTATAATTTATAATTTATCTTCTTTTTGTTATTATTTATAATTTAATTAGAGATATTAAAATTGGTTGTCCACTCACGTGAGTTCCATTGAATTAGATTGAATTAAAAAAAATCAATTCTTTAAATGTGAGTCAAATTCAATCTGAATCACTTAACTCACAGGTTAAACCAAACCGTTTAAAACAAGTTGAAGATATTATTATTTATCATCTTCTGACAACAACTTTTTGTTATTTTTTTACCATTCTTCATAATTTTTTCATTTGAAATATTTATTACTTATAATTATATATGTTGGAAGTCCCACATCGATTAGAGATAAGGTCAATTCATAGTTTATAATTGGATGCAAACCTCACCTTACAAGCCGGTTTTGTGGGGTTGAGTTAGGCTTAAACCCACTTTCTAATAATATAGGTTGAGAATTTGATATTCTTAAAAATTAAGATATTACTCAATAATATTTGAATACTTTTATAGTTAGTTTATTTATTTGCCTTTTTATATAAGTTGACACCTCAATTTTTAATTATAATCTTTATAGTAATATTTCATGAAATAGTAAAACACTTTAATTATATAACTATAAATATATATAAGTGTGATCAATCCACTTTAATTGTGTTGCATTAAATATATAAAATGAATTAGAAGAATAAAACATTTTTAAGCGAGTTAATTCACCTAATTTAACAACCTATATTATCATGTTACAAAATTTTTAATTCACAAAAAGTAAATTAGGTTGAGCTAACTTTTTTTTAACTCAATCTGTAATAAATTAATCTATATGTGAACGAAAAGAAAGATATTTTTATATTATTTAAGAAAAAAAATTATATTTTATATTCCACCAAATGTGTTGAAAAATTATATATTTTGTTGTAAAATTCTTCAATGTAAAATAACAAAAATACTTGTTTTTTTCACCTTCTTGTGTTAAGGAGTTATGAAAGTCTCAGTAACATCAAATTTATTCAATGACATCTTTGTCAAATTTATTAAATAGCTTAAGTTTGTCCAATTAATCAATCTGTGTTTGTTTTAATTATGATAAAGAAGTATAATAGATATGTTCTTATTAGATTGTTCCAAATTTACATCTTGTTACTTAATGTTTTAAAAATAATTACTTGTTATTTTTCTTGTGATTGAAATGGTTATGTGAAATAAGTACAAGTGAGAGATTTTTTATGAATTTGTACGATGAACGATCATATGTTGACTGGTTGTAAATCATTGAAGTTATGTATGATTTGGTTGTGAAATTTTAGGTTGTTGGAGTTAATGATTATACATAATTGATGGTAGCATTTGTGATGAGAAAGGAGTTGAAATACTTTAGTATATAAGTATATAAGGTTGTTTTGTTTTTGTTCTTGTAGGTTCAAGAATACACCGGAAAGACTCCACAAGAAGTTATTATCTTCACTCTTTAACCTTTAAGTGTCGAGATATTTCTCAGTTTATATATTGTTTCAAGCTGAGAGGGAATGTGCTTGTAAAAGACAATCTGATGTAAGTTAGGAGTGTGCGTCAAATGATAAAAAATGTTGTAATAATGAATATGTAATTAATTTACCTTGTGAATTGTGTTATTTATACTATATTTATGCGTTTTGACCTGGTTGGACATGATACACAAATATAATCACCTTAATTAATTTGCCTAATGTCGTAGTAACATGTTTTAACTACTAGGACTTTTTTCATAATGTAATGGTCGACATGATATGCTATTGATCAAGGGAATCTCGATCATATAAGTATAATCTAAGATAATATTAGATAAGTATGAGAATATATTAGTAATATAAGTCGAGATGTTCTCAAGTTAAGTACCCGAGATAATCTTAAGTATATGTAGTACAATATAAATATTTGTGTTTAAGAAGTTATAAATTGAATATTTAATTAGTGAATATATAAAAAAAATTATAATAAATGATTAATATTCATAAAAAAAATAATTACAATTATACTAATGTTTTTAATAAAAATACTCAATACTAAATATTTTCTAAATAATTTTATAAATTATAAGTATGGAGAATTAAATTAACTTTAAGTTCCACAATATAAGAAATTTGAGTAACATATAAAATAAAATATCATAAACATAGTTTTAAGTAGAAAGGGTTGTTTGATCCTTAAACATGTGGGTTAGATTTAATATCGTAACCTATTAAAAGCCTATAAATTAAAAAATTGTTAGTTTGAAAATAATTATAAATTTAACTTGGCAAAGTTATTTTTAAAATTAAAATTGTTATTTGTGGTTTGAAAAACTAATACCAAAGTTATTGATAATCTCAGTCTTATTTTCCTTCCACCCATATCAATGAATTGACGAATTATTTTTCAACTTTTGTTTAATACATTTTAGACTTGATATTATGTTTTTTGTTTTTGTTTTTCTTATGTAAACATAAAACTAAATATATCTTAGCTGAATTGGTTAAGTTTGGTCCATCCAAACTCAATATTTAAAGTAATTCTCTTTTGTAGTTTGTTTGATAAATTAAACTAATTAATAGATAACATCATATTTGGACATCTCGGATTGAAAATTTTTATATTATTAAAATAAAATATATCATGTGAGACATAATATATAGGTGTAAGCGAACTTTACTTCCTAATAAAAACTAAATGAGAATTCTATTTTAGTAAACCAGAGTCCATTTATATTATTATAATATAATTATGAAGCGGGTTTTTAGTTATCATAGTATTAATTTTTTAATTGTAATTTAATTGTGTTTATTACTGTATTAAAATATCATCATCATATTGAAAACTATCATTTATTAGAAAAAATATTTTTAATTTAACAAATGCTTAACAAACTACTTTGAAGGATAACATGATTACTAAAAAAATAAATTCTTATAATTATAAATAAAAAATAAAAATATTATACATTAAATAATTATAAAAAATATTAAATATGAAAAATGTGAAAATATATAACACTTGTTACGTCACGTCAACTTTTACCCTTAATTTTACTGGATTTCAAAACATACGTCTTCAAAGTTTATATATTCTAATTAGCTTGCTTATAATATAATATAATATATATATATATATATATATATATATATATTGTAATTAGCAGGCAGATTATATATATTTTGTAATTATCGTAATATATTATCTTTAAAATTGCGTTGTTAAATGGTTGAAAAAGTGTTATAAGATAATTTTTCTTTGTAAGAATCTCTTATTGAAAATATTTTATTTGTTAGTTGTACTTTTTAATATGTTAATTTTAAAATGAATTATTATTTTATCATTAATTTTAGATGCTTGCATTAAATTGTTTGATGATTCAGATCATGTTATTTGAAAAAAAAAATTGTAATATAAAACCAAATGGAATGTCATCATAATTTCAAAATGCAAACAAAGTGAACCTATGATTTTGTTAATATGGTCTGTATCAAAGTAACAGGAAGAAAAATGTTCTAAGTCTATGAAGTCAATATCAGCAAGAACACTGAAGGTTAAATCCAAACCTTTATGCATACACAGCACCACACCAGCATGTTCTAATCTGAATGATAACTACCCTTTCTTGGATCTTTCACCTTGATCTTCCAATGGCCATCAGACAAACTGGAATTTCTTGCTATCCTTCTCCACTTCACGATCCTTTCATTCATCTTCTGTGTAAGTCCACAGTAAGATTGCAACTCTTCAGGCATAGTATCATAAACCTGCCACCACCTTCTGTGAGCAGAATCACTTGCAAAAATATGACGATCCTGCATGTCCCAGTTGCAATCATAATCCCTATAACACATCCATGGCTTCAAACCCAAGTAGTGTATGGCATAAGGGACTTCATGATTCTCGTCCTCATCGTTTTGAAAACCTTTCAGCAGATTAACCTTCGTTGGCAAACGGTGCCACCACGTGAAGATCTCATTCAGAAAACCTTGGTCACCCCCGTTGTAGGAACGTACCTTGAAGGTTTTGTTCATCATCTGTTGGAACATGCACTGGGATGGCTCGACCACCATCAAGCCCGAGTTGAACAAGACTTTCTCGTTAGGTGCTGCTGACAACTGAGGGTACACGAATAAATGGTCGAGGTTGTTGAGGAGTACGAGGTCGGAGTCTATGAAGATGATTTTGTCGTACTTGGTGAGTTGCCATATTCGTAGTTTGCTGTAGTTCCACTTGTTGTATGCACCCGTTTTGGCAAAGGGGCTCAAGATGCGTTTGATGCGTTGGATCTTCCACCCTGCAGCTTTTAGACCAGTTATGGATTTTGGACCAATGGATTTATCAACCAGGAGTAGAAGATCGTTTGGAAAATTGGTATTTGCTCGAAGAATGCTTTGAGCA